TTTAATTCATGAAGCACTTGTTGAATGGCACCAGTAACAAAATTGATAAAACAAGGACATGTTGAAAGTAATAGTTTTAAGAGTAATCACTAATATTCATATACTTGCAAAAATATCTATATTATATATAAAATAGCATTATTATTAGTAAGACTTTTATGGTAACCATATAGCTTTATTAATTAAGATTTTGATGACTACCATTTTATGCATTTTTTCTTACTGTTTTCATTACATTTATGTCAGTTTACATTGTTGTAAAACCCTGCTGTATAGCATTGGGATAATTATGTTAAAAATGTATCGTGTAACAAGTGATGATACACCAGATGCTTAATTTAGATATACCACTAAGATGTTCGAGATGTAGGAACGGTTAACGGTGGGAACTCCAAGGCCCACGTTCCATGTTCTATGCCAAATGTGGAATCACACGAAGTTCCGTTTTTCATTTTCTTTGCGTTTTTTTAATTATATTTATTTCATTATTTTGTTCCTGCTGCAATATATATATACATACACACACATATATACATATATATGTATACATATATATAATGTGTATATATATATTGTATATATATATATATATATATATATATATATATATATATATGTATATATATATGTATATGTATATATATATATGTATATGTATATATATATATATATATATATATATATATATATGTACACACACACACACACACACACACACACACACACACACACATATATATATATATATATATATATATATATATATATATATATATATATATCGGTACTGTACATATCTATTTACTCATTTTATGAACACACAGCAAGATGGAATTCCGTAAATCTTTAAAGGTAATTCAAAGCGGGAATATTATAAATACTTTATTATGCCAACGAGTAAAAATCATACCATAAGTTATCTATTGCTTTCCCTTTAACGCTTGAGCAATTCGATTTTAGGACTATCTACATTTTTTTTCTAAACTTAACCAGTACTAACCGAAATTATTATATTTTTTTACACGTAGGGGGAAATACACACGCACGGCTCTTAGGTTAAATGTCTTATTCAGCCTCTTAAAAAAAAAATGCCGGGCGCTGTATCTTCCTCCTCTTCCTGATCCTTTCCTCTTCTCCTCTTTCTTCTACGCCTTGTTATTGTTGTCCTCTTCCTCTTCGTTATCCGTCTTCCTCTTCTTCGATTCTTCCTCCTCGTTCATTTTCTTGTTCTTCTTTGCCTTCTTTTTTCTTATCCTTCTGCTTCCTCTTCATTTTATTTTTATTTTCCTTTTCCTCTTCTCGTTATTCTTCTTCTTCTCCTTTCTCTTCATTTTCTCCTTTTTGTGTCCTCCTTCTTCCTCTTTTCTCCTCCTCCTGCTCCTCCCTCTTTATCTCCTTCTCTTCCTCTCTCCTTCGTCTTCCTCATACTCCTCTTCTTCGTCTCCCATTCCTTCTCCTCCTCATTCGTCTCCTCCACCTCCTCATTTCTCCACCACTCTCCTTTTCTTTCTTCTTCCTCCACCTTTCGCCTCCACCACCTCGCCCCAAAACCATCAGCAGGTAAGACAAGGCCTCAAATAGTCCTCAGGTTCTCCCGCCAGCAGCCCGCGACCCTGGTTCCTGATGAAGAGGCAAGTGACATGCGTCTTATGGAGGAGCGACCGACGGCTGGAGACAAAGGCGTTAATCTGAGACACCCTGTACTTCTTGTGGGTCGCCGGCTGGATCACGGCGAGCTTCACCCTGTAGAGTTTGGGGAGACAGAGAGGGGTAAGTCGTATTGTGGGGGAAATGTGTGTGTTTTTATATATTTTTATTTTCGATTTGGTTTTTGATCGATTCATTTAATTCGTTTGTGGGATAGGGTCGGGGTTTGGGAAATTATAGCGGAGTGACAGCGTAATGATTAGGGTAATTATTATGATAATAATAATGGCAATGATATTGATGACAGTATTAGTAGCAATAGTAATAACAATAGTAATTAATTAATAACATTAATAATCAATAATGATAATAATTAATTAAATCTAAAGAAATATCTTAAAAATTCTTTCAGCATATTAGTGTAAAATCATATCGTAACCAGAAAATAATAAAATAAGTCAACAGCGAAAGGGAATAAACAAACAAATAAATAAATGAGCAAATACAATCAATACCTGATGTAATAAAATTTATCTATTAACATCTATCGGATCTACCATTACCTGGTGGTGTTTTGTGACGTCGCGTTCCTGTCAAGAGTTCCCACGGTTTTGAAAGCAAACTGACCTGGAAAATATAGAAAATTGATAATTTTGGTTTTTAATTTTGGATATAGAACGATATATGGTATTCACGATAGATGGTATTTTTGGGAGTGCATGTGGATTTCATGCGGGTATGCATGCGGGTGTGTGTGTGTGTGTGTGTGTGTGTGTGTGTGTGTGTGTGTGTGTGTGTGTGTGTGTGTGTGTGGGTGTGTGTATGTGGGTGTGTGTATGTGTGTGTGTGTGTGTGTATGTGTGTGTGTGTGCGTGTGTGTGTGCGTGTGTGCGCGCGCGCGCGCGTGTGCGCGTGAGTGTAAGTGTGTGCCTGTGCGCAACGTTGGCGTGTTTTTGCGCGTACAATATATGAAACTGGACAATTTAGTCTATGGCCTTGAGCTGAGGCATGTTCACGTGTGTTCTTTTGCAAGGTGAGAGAGAAAAAATCTAAATTAATTCAAGTTCTATGTACCATAATGGAATATAGATTCTGAAGAAAAATAACGAGAAAGACCAGTACAAGGAGCAGGTTTTTACCACATATGCACACGCGCACACAGACATACACACATATATACGATTATATTTTCTAGCTATCTTTTATTTTTAATCCTTAGGGGACAATAAAGGTGAGGCGTCGAAAGTTATTTATGGCTTATGGCTTATTTGCATATTAGGGTACACGGAGCCACGAAAAAAGAGTGGAGGGTTAACCTGTTACCTGTCAGACAAAGTGAATTCCTTATCAGATGCCGTCCTTCAGCCCATTGTTATTTCTCTATTTTTTATCATTATTATATCGTTTTTGTTTAATATAATTTGAATCATCTACACTATCGTTCGTATCAACAAAGCTTAACGGTGAGCACTAGAGAGAACTTGAAGTGCAGACATTGAACATCAGTAGGAACTACGTTTAGAATTTGACGCACGCACGCGCACATACACACGCACGCACACACGCACACTTACGGACACATACAACTCTATATAACGATGAATTAACAGACATACCCGCACATCACATTACAACAGGAAAATCGAATAGAACACTCTCACCATTGCCACATCATTACAATTACCACTATCATCAACAACAATTACAGCAGCAGCTTGAGCCACTAACATCACCAATAACGAACACAAAACTACCAATAGCACCATTACCCTCAATCAAACAATAGTAGCAACACCACAAACTCTCACCACTACCCTTACCTCCATCACTCTCGCCAATAACAATACCTCTGTTATCCCCCACCACTAACACCACTATTACTACCATTCCAACACCACCGCCAACACCACTATTACTACAGTTTCATTACTACCAACAAAGACCAAGATTCTCTCCATTTCTACCTGCAACAGTATTACAGGTGCCACGTACGATCACTCTCACCATCCTTCCACCAACAGCACCTCCACTAAAGTATCTTTAAATAAGTAGCTGGCAACCTCATCACCTTCATTCACTGCAAATATATATATGTACACACACACACACACACACACACACACACACACACACATATATATATATATATATATATATATATATATTTTTTTTTTTTTTTTTTTTTTTTTTTTTTTGGGGGGGGTACTTTTTCGATTTTTTCGATATCAGGTACAGCTAAATTTATAAATGTTTGTATAACTTACTCGTTGCCTGAAGTAAAACCAAAATTTCACTCTTATACTTGTGATAATAAGTTCCTTTCGATTTAAACCCATCAGAATAAGTCAATATCATTTTTGGGTTCAATAGGCTATATGGAAATGGAGGTATCTGGTTATATGTACCTTGACCTCCATCCTCCCCATCCACCCTACCACCACCACCACCTACCACTACCCATCCCCTTAACCATTCAATCCCATTCCCTACCTCCACCTTCCCTACCACACTTACCTATCACCACCTAGACTAGCCACTACAATCACCACCAATTCTACCACACTTATTCCCCAACACACCACTGCCACTACACCACTTACCGATCACCCCCGTGGTATTAGGAGACAGAATCGTCTGCTCTTCAACATAAAACCCGAGGAACTGCTGCCCATGCTTGTTCTTGGAGAGAGTGACGACGAAATGGGCTGCCACGTCGCCCATTAGAATCTCCAGTTTCCTGTGGTTCCGTAGGCCTACCACCACTTGGCCGTACCTAGAGGAGGAAGGTGGGTTGAGTGAGTGGGTGGGGTGGGCTGAGGTAGGGATTTCGGTTAGATGGGTTGGGGTGGGTGAGTTGGCAGGTTGGGATGAGGTAGGGATTAGTGTTGGGTGGGGTGGGTGGATGGGATGGGGTGGTTAGGTGAGTGGGTGGGGTGTGTTGAAGCAGGGAGATGGTTTGTGTTTGGGTTGGTTTAGGGAGAGTGGGTGGGATGGGTTGGCTAAATGTTGGGATCTGGTTGGCTGCTTTCAGTCTTTATCCTCATCAAGCAAAACAAAATATACACACAAAGAAACTTTTTGAAAAGTATAAATTAAAAAACGTCGGTTGTTTTGATGCCAAGCCGTCAAAATCATGCAATTCTGCTCAAGATATAGTTTAACGGTAACTCCATAAAACTCACATTGCAATATTTTCACTCACGCAAGGACTCGTCTCCCTCCATACTTTCTCAAAAGACCTACCTCCCACCAGATGCTTTGCTCCAGCCAAAGGAATCGCTGCACTTGCTTCGCAGTCCCTTCTCCTGAGAACCAAAGGTATCTTCACTGCTAACTTCATCTTCGCCAGTGACTTCATTTCCACCAGTAATTTCATCTTCGCCTTCCTCTCTGCTGACCTCATTTTTAGCGTGTTGAGGTCTAGGTGGGCTGGTATCTGAATAGTTAAGTAAATCGGTTCTTGGAATGTTAATTAGACTTATGGTTGGGGAGTCTGAATCCGCGAAGCTGGGAATAGTGCTGTGTGTGCTGGTATGGTTTACTGTTTCTGGGGCTGATAAGGTTTCGGAAGTGGAAGGCGGGGTTTCAGAACTGGAAAATGGGGTTTCAGAATTGGAAGATGGAATTTCAGAACTGAGATATGAGGTTTTAGAATTGGAAGACGTAGTTTCAGAACTAGAAGATGAAGTTTCAGAAATATACAGGGAAGGTGTCTCAGAATTGTGCTTTTGGTGCGTTTGAGTGTAGCTCTTACTGCCAGTAGAAGAATAGCTGTGTTTCGTCAGTTTCCTGTGCGAGCGAGGGGGATACCTGTGAGCGTGTGGGTGCCCACCTTCCCTCTCTGCACTCGTGTAAAACGGATATCTCCCTTTGTGTGGGTGAAGCAAATCCCGTTTTCTTCGAGAACGATGGCTCCCGACCCTCGAGGGGGAGGTACTCGCCGACGTTCGAAGTGTCTTGTCAGAGGGACGTTTTCGGCGAGACAGGCGCCTCTTTCTCCGCTTTCTGCGCCCCTTGGATTCGCTCTTCGCCGCGTGCCTTCGCCTGCCTCCCGGGATGCGCTTCGAGAGCTGTCGGCGGACCTTCCTTCGGCGCCGCAGGCTCTTCAGACGCGGCACCCGGCGCTTGCGGGGCCTTCGCTTGAAGGGCCAGAGAGAGCTGGACGCCGTGTTCACCTGGGAAGAAGAGGTTGCTCTCTGATCTGTGCTCTCTCTCTCTCTCTCTCTCTCTCTCTCTCTCTCTCTCTCTATCTGCATTGAAAAACAATATATATACACATATTTATCTATCTACCTATCAATCGGTCAATCAAAATTCAATCTACTTATCTACTTCACCATCGGTCAGTCAATCTTTCTGTATGTTGCTACCCACTTATATATCTATTCATCTACAAATCAATCAGTAGGTCAGTCAAACAATCAATCGATTTGTCAGTCTATCGATCTTTCTATCTATCTACTAATCGATCTATATACTTATCCATCTACTCATCTGTTCATCCATCCATCCATTCAATTTATTCATCCACCTACCTATCCATCCTTCCATACATTCATCCATCTATTCACCTATCTTTATTCATCTATCTATATGTCTATCTATCTATCTATCTATCTACCCAGCCATCCATCTCTCCAAACACCCACCCATTCCTCTCTCCCTCCATCCCCCAACCCACCCACCCACCCATCTATCAATCAATCTATCTATCAATCTATCTATCTATTTATTCATCTATCCATCCATCCCTCCACCCACCCATCTACCTACTTACCTATCTATCTATCTGTCTATCTATCAATCTATTAACATATCCATCGACCTACCCATCCCTCCCTCTATCTATCTATTTACTTATTTATCCATCCATCCATCCACTCACCTTTGGATTTCCCGCATCATCAAGGCAGTCGACGACAATGCTATCTGGCGTGACGGTAAAGTTGACCTCGCCGAAACTCATGAAAATTTTCGTAAAATACGTTAATTCCGGGTGGTCAGCCGATGACGTCACTTCCCCGTTGACGATGATGCCTGTTGGTGTGGTCGGGGCTTGTTAAGCATTTGTTTGTTTGTTTTTTGTGTGTTCTTGTCTTGGATGTTGTTGTTTTTTCTCTCTCTCTTTCATTTTTTAACTTTATTCTTACTATTTCTTTCTATTATCTTTATATTCCCCCCTCTCGTTTTCGTATGTGTATATCTAAGCATAAACCTGTCATCTACCCAACGAATCTACAAATAAAAATCATACTTTTAAAACACCAACATATACATGCATCTATCTATCTATCCACAACCTATCTCTATAACACACATCATAGAACCCCCTTTTTCCCAACCCGTGCATGACTTCGTCTTTAGCTGTGCATGACTGACCTGACCTGTGATCACGTACAAGACTGAAGACGTCCTTGTTCCGTCCGTGCAGGTCAAAGCACAGGGGAAGGTGGACCCCGGGCACTTGGACGACGAAGTGGGGGTCGTTGTCCCCTGTAAAGGAAGTGAAAGAAGAGGGTTAGGGAGAGGGTTAACGGTGTGGTTGGTGGAGTGAGTTTTAATGTTAGCGCGGGTGTGTTGTGTAATGTGTGCGCTTGTTCTTTCCCGTGTTTATTTGTTTTCTTGTAAATATATGTTTTATTTCTTTTCTTTCTCTTTTTCAACAGTCATTCATTCCACTGAAGGAAATAGGCCTTTCTCAATTCAGGATTGAGAGGTTGTTTGGCAGTACCGCCCTTGTTTGATTGGATGGCCTTCCTAATCAACCGCGGTTCGGCGTGCTAACGTTTGTGCCACGGCAGCGACTTCCCCTATGACACCTGCGTTTCACTTTCTCAATTTTCTCTTATTTTCTCGCATGAGATCAGGCTCGAGGCAGCAGTCGGAGCGCTGGCATTTTAACGATTGCCACGGCGGGGAATTATGTAAACAATCTATATAAATATATGTATGTATATAGATAAACGTATCTATATGTGTGTGTGTGAGTGTGTGTGTATGCGTGTGTGTGTGTGTGCTCATATATATATATTTATATATGCACATACATATATATATATATATATATATATATATATATATATATATATATACATATGTATATATACATATATATGTATACATATATACATATGTATACATACATATTTATATATGTACATATATGTGTATATGTATATATACATATATGTATGTATATACATACATGTATGTACACACACACACACACACACACACACACACACACACACACACACACACACACACACACACACATACACATATTCATACAAAAAAAATTATATGCATACGCACACACACACACCCAACAACACAACATATCCTTCAAACACCAACACTCCCATCAAACACAGCACCACACAAAAACGCAGTGATAAACACACAAAAATGAAAAATAAACAAACAAATAAAAATAAAAACCAAATAAAATCAGACAAAAAGAGATGAACAACACTTCCTAACCGAAGGAGAACCGCCTCCTGCTCTGAGTGTCGACGCGCGTGTGGAGGGGCGCGGGCAGCGTCTTGGCGAACTCCTCGGCGCTCAGGAGGGTGAGGTCCTGGTCCGTGTTGGGCAGTCGGATGGTCACCGAGTTCGACTTCCGGTGGAGGGCCGCGGACTTATAGCCTGAAGGGTGTCCGTCGGCGTCCGGCACGATGTCCAGGGACGTCAGTTTGGTCAGGAACTGGAACTGCGGAAAAGGGGTCGTTGGAGGGTTATTATTGTGGAAGGGGATCGTTAGTTATTTTGTGGAAGGGGGTCGGTTGTTACTTATTTTGTGGAAGAGATAATTGGATAGTAATTTTGTAGACGTCAGTTCTCTTAGTTATTCTGTAGAAGGGAGTCTAAAGGGGAGACGTTTGTTAGTTATTCTTTGAAAGGGCGTCGTTAGTTATTCTTTGAAAGGGGGTCGTTGGTTAGTTATTCTTTGAAAGGGCGTCGTTAGTTATTCTTTGAAAGGGCGTCGTTAGTTATTCTTTGAAAGGGGGTCGTTGGTCGGTAGTTATTTTGTGGAAGGGGTCATTGGACGGGAGTTCCCTTAGTTATTCTCTAAAAGGGAGGCGTTTGTTAGTTATTCTTTGAAAGGGGGTCGTTAGTTATTCTTTGAAAGGGAGTCGTCGGTTAGTTATTCTTTGAAAGGGCGTCGTTAGTTGTTCTTTGTAAGGGGGTCGTTTGTTAGTCATTCTTTGTAAGGGGGTCGTTGGTTAATTTTTCTTTGCAAAAGTTTCGTTAGTTAGTTTTTCTTTGTAATGGGTCGTTGGAAGCAGGTCATTCGTCTATTATTCTGGAAGGGGGTCTTTGGCTATTTATTCTAAAGGACCATCATTTAGTCATTTTTTTAAAAAGTAGGTCGTTGTATAGTCTTAATTATTCTGCATATCTCTCTCCCCCCTTTATCCTCTTCACTTAAAAAAAAGAAAAATAACTAATTCAAAATAACTTCTTTCACTTACCCTCACTGCGATATCGAGAGCTCTTGCCCGCATTTCCGCGCGGAGGTTCGAATCCTCTACCACCTCCTGCATCGATAGCAAGTCCTACGAAAAGAAGGATTAAGACCCATTAACTTTTTTAGATATTTTGCATTTCGGGGAAGAAAACACAAAAAACAGTATTTTGATGGTAAAAACTCGCAATTGGTTGAATAAATAAATAAATAATTATATATAAATAAGCAGATAAGAAACAAATAGATTGTTAAATTCAATTAATTAGGTGAGTAAACCGAGAAATGAATTAGTAAACAAAAAAAAAATGAATCTATGACTATCAAACACATAAATAAAATTAAAACAACCAGATATATAAGCAAACGAATGAGTAAAACGATAAATAAACAGTTTTACAAACAGACCCGCCACCACACTGACCTGTACTGTGAGATAAGCCCAAAGTCTCTCAACATAGTTATCTCTCTCAGGTTCCTCTTCGGGCTGCGAGACTCGAGACACTCGGAACTGCATCGGCCCGGACCGCCCCTGTCCGGTGATGATGGGCCGCACCTGCGTGGCCCCCTCTGCCAGTTGCCCTGCCAACACCACCTGCCACCAGCAAGAGAGGGTGTGTGAGAGGTTGTCAAGTAGTATTTTTGTTATACTAGGGAAGAAGGGGGGTTTGAGGGAGGTAGGGAAGGAAATATATAATGAATAATGACATAACTATTACGTCTATGCTATGCATCTATCAGGCTAGTACTATCTGTACTATAGTACCTACTTCAAGAATTGTAAGAGCATTAAAGTGCATTATACCTTACATCATGCGCCTAATACACAAATATAAACATGTACCAAACCTACTACTACGCTATGCATCAATTAACTACTTCAAGTACTGGATGAACATTAACATCCATTACACCCTACGAGTATCAATATATACCCCCTGTACTTTATGCCACTAGTTCACCTACGATATGCTTCTACTTGTACTATAATTCTATAACACCTAATTCAAGCACTGCATGAATATTAACATACATAAAACCTTACGGCATGCACCTAATACACAGGTATCATCATAAACCACCTCTAATCTACGTAACTATTACGCCTATGCTATGTATCTATTAAACTAGCACTACCTGTGCTATAACACCTACTTCAACATGCATTATACGTTACGGCATGACCTACTTCATCACCCGAGTAGTAAGTCGACGTTCCTTGACGTACGACGGTGTTAGGCTCAACTTCGTCGTCAAGGTACATCACATCGACGTCTGTGATGAGCGGCGTTGCAATCTCGTCGTAGAAGTTCTTGAGTTGGTCGGCGGGCTGGGCGTGGGCGTCGATCTTACGGGTGAATCCACGGTTGTCTGTACTCACTTGACGTAGCAACCTGCGGGAAGGGTCAATGTTGAAATATGGTGTTTCTTCCTGTAGATCTATCGTCGCGTGGGGATTGGGGATAGGGGGCATTGAAGGTTGGAATAATGGTAATATTGTCCGTAGACGTTTAACGGATTCAAATGCAGATCTTATATTGATAGTACGAATGTATTAGTACTTGATATTGTTGCTGTTTTCAAAAGAAAATCGGATATACTCGCACACACAATCTACCATATCCTTCTACCTATCAATCTATACCCATATCCATTTATTTATCTATCTACCTACCTATCTATCTATAAACACACAAAACTTCAGCAACCTCTCCTTATCTCACCGCATATCAGCATCTCCACCAAAGGCGAGTGAGAAGATCGGGTAGTTGTGAATGTTGGCTTCTCGAACGTTTCTGCGAAGCAAATCCGACTTGGTTTCCCCCAAGTTGGGCTTGCCGTCGGTCAGGAACACCACCTGCAGAAGTGAAGACGAGATTCAAGATTAATGATGGAGGATTTCTGTGGTCATGTAAGCTGGGTATAGGCTTTGGAACACATTTTGGGTATTAGGATCTAAGCTTTGGAACACTCGCTGGGTATAAAGGTATAATCTTTGAACACTCACTCGGTATGAGGATCTAAGTTTGGAACACTTGCTGGGGATGAGGATCTAGGCTTTGGAACACTCATTGGGTATGAAGATATAAGCTCTGGAACACTCATTGGGTATGAAGGTATAAACTTTGGAACACTTGTTGGGTATGAAGGTATAAACTTTGCAACAATCGCTGGAATGAGGGTATAAGCTTTGGAACACTCGTTGGGTATGAGGATCTAAGCTCTGGAACACTTGTTGGTTATGAAGGTATAAGCTATGGAGCACTCGTTGGGTATGAGGATCTAAGCCTTGGAACACTTGCTGGGGATGAAGGCATAAGCTTTTTAACACTCGTTGGGTATAAGTTCTTGGAACACTTGCAGGGTATGAGGATCTAAGCTATAAAACACTTGTTGGGTACGCATATCTAAGCTATGGGAACACTTGCCGGGTATGAAGGTACAAGCTTTGGAACACTTGTTGGATATGAGTATCTAAGCTTTGGAACTCCCATTGGGTATGAGGATCTAAGCTTTGGAATACTCACTGGGTATAAGGGTATAAACATTAGGAACATCCGTTAAGTTTCACGATCTAAGCTTAAAGAAGATAGGAGATAGATGCTTTGCTAAATTCATATGGTGTTCAAAGCTTATGTAATACCCATTCGCTGGTGATGGTGTTCTTTAAGATTTAAGTTGAAAGATGTGTAAATAAATTAAGTAAGTAATGTCTATATATCAAAACGTAATGCCGTAAAAGTTGAATTGTTGAAATATATATAAGGGCAAACACAACACTAATAGCCAACCAACAACCGGTCAAAAAACTGGAACAAGCATACTAAAATACACGAAACCAACCTCATTAATACATAAACATTATCAGAAACCAAACCTGTTTAGCTGCCGTAGTTTCGTTAAAATTGTTCATCTCCAAAATGGCCTTGAGGAGTGCCTCACTCCCTCACCATCTCATCCTCACCCTCTCCCTCACTCCCTCACCATCTCATCCTCACCCTCTCCCTCACTCCCTCACCATCTCATCCTCACCCTCTCCCTCACTCCCTCACCATCTCATCCTCACCCTCTCCCTCACTCCCTCACCATCTCATCCTCACCCTCTCCCTCACTCCCTCACCATCTCATCCTCACCCTCTCCCTCACTCCCTCACCATCTCATCCTCACCCTCTCCCTCACTCCCTCACCATCTCATCCTCACCCTCTCCCTCACTCCCTCACCATCTCATCCTCACCCTCTCCCTCACTCCCTCACCATCTCATCCTCACCCTCTCCCTCACCCCCTCCCCATCTCATCCTCATCCTCTCCCTCACCCCCTCCCCATCTCATCCTCACCCTCTCCCTCACTCCCTCACCATCTCATCCTCACCCTCTCCCTCACTCCCTCACCATCTCATCCTCACCCTCTCCCTCACTCCCTCACCATCTCATCCTCACCCTCTCCCTCACTCCCTCACCATCTCATCCTCACCCTCTCCCTCACTCCCTCACCATCTCATCCTCACCCTCTCCCTCACCCCCTCCCCATCTCATCCTCACCCTCTCCCTCACTCCCTCACCATCTCATCCTCACCCTCTCCCTCACCCCCTCCCCATCTCATCCTCACCCTCTCCCTCACTCCCTCACCATCTCATCCTCACCCTCTCCCTCACTCCCTCACCATCTCATCCTCACCCTCTCCCTCACTCCCTCACCATCTCACTCTCACCCTCTCCTTCACCTCCTCCCCATCTCACCCTCACCCCCTCCCATCTCATCCTCACCCTCTCCCTCATCTCCTCCCCATCCCATCCTCACCCTCTCCCTCACTCCCTCACCATCTCATCCTCACCCTCTCCCTCACTCCCTCCCCCTCTCATCCTCACCCTCTCCCTCACCCCCTCCCCATCTCATCCTCACCCTCTCCCTCACCCCTCCCCATCTCATCCTCACCCTCTCCCTCACTCCCTCACCATCTCATCCTCACCCTCTCCCTCACTCCCTCACCATCTCATCCTCACCCTCTCCCTCACTCCCTCACCATCTCATCCTCACCCTCTCCCTCACTCCCTCACCATCTCATCCTCACCCTCTCCCTCACTCCCTCACCATCTCATCCTCACCCTCTCCCTCACTCCCTCACCATCTCATCCTCACCCTCTCCCTCACTCCCTCACCATCTCATCCTCACCCTCTCCCTCACTCCCTCACCATCTCATCCTCACCCTCTCCCTCACCCCCTCCCCATCTCATCCTCATCCTCTCCCTCACCCCCTCCCCATCTCATCCTCACCCTCTCCCTCACTCCCTCACCATCTCATCCTCACCCTCTCCCTCACTCCCTCACCATCTCATCCTCACCCTCTCCCTCACTCCCTCACCATCTCATCCTCACCCTCTCCCTCACTCCCTCACCATCTCATCCTCACCCTCTCCCTCACTCCCTCACCATCTCATCCTCACCCTCTCCCTCACTCCCTCACCATCTCATCCTCACCCTCTCCCTCACTCCCTCACCATCTCATCCTCACCCTCTCCCTCACTCCCTCACCATCTCATCCTCACCCTCTCCCTCACCCCCTCCCCATCTCATCCTCATCCTCTCCCTCACCCCCTCCCCATCTCATCCTCACCCTCTCCCTCACTCCCTCACCATCTCATCCTCACCCTCTCCCTCACTCCCTCACCATCTCATCCTCACCCTCTCCCTCACTCCCTCACCATCTCATCCTCACCCTCTCCCTCACTCCCTCACCATCTCATCCTCACCCTCTCCCTCACTCCCTCCCCATCTCATCCTCACCCTCTCCCTCACTCCCTCACCATCTCATCCTCACCCTCTCCCTCACCCCCTCCCCATCTCATCCTCATCCTCTCCCTCACCCCCTCCCCATCTCATCCTCACCCTCTCCCTCACTCCCTCACCATCTCATCCTCACCCTCTCCCTCACTCCCTCACCATCTCATCCTCACCCTCTCCCTCACTCCCTCACCATCTCATCCTCACCCTCTCCCTCACTCCCTCACCATCTCATCCTCACCCTCTCCCTCACTCCCTCACCATCTCATCCTCACCCTCTCCCTCACTCCCTCACCATCTCATCCTCACCCTCTCCCTCACTCCCTCACCATCTCATCCTCACCCTCTCCCTCACTCCCTCACCATCTCATCCTCACCCTCTCCCTCACTCCCTCACCATCTCATCCTCACCCTCTCCCTCACTCCCTCACCATCTCATCCTCACCCTCTCCCTCACTCCCTCACCATCTCATCCTCACCCTCTCCCTCACCCCCTCCCCATCTCATCCTCACCCTCTCCCTCACCCCCTCCCCATCTCATCCTCACCCTCTCCCTCACTCCCTCACCATCTCATCCTCACCCTCTCCCTCACTCCCTCACCATCTCATTCTCACCCTCTCCTTCACCTCCTCCCCATCTCATCCTCATCCTCTCCCTCACCCCCTCCCCATCTCATCCTCACCCTCTCCCTCACCCCCTCCCCATCTCATCCTCACCCTCTCCCTCACCCCCTCCCCATCTCATCCTCACCCTCTCCCTCACCCCCTCCCCATCTCATCCTCATCCTCTCCCTAAGCTTTGGAACACTCGCTGGGATGAGGATATAAGCTTTGGAACACTATACTTCACCCATCCCTTACCCATCCTCCTCCCTCCCACACCTTCTCTCACCCTTCCACACCTCGAAAGAATCCTCCGGCTTCATACTGTGAAGAATAGACTCCATAGCGAGCTTCAGTTGGTCGAGTTTGCCGAAGTCGTACATGGACCCGGAGATGTCGAGGACGAAGACCGTGTGTGTGGGCAGCTTGGGCAGTCCTTCGGGGCAGAAGTAGTGGACGAAGAAGCCTCCCAGGATCTGATGGTGAATGGTGCGGGGGATGGTGTGGATTATGACGTAAAGATGGCGTGAAAATGGTTGATGATGACATAAGATGGTGAAAGATAGGAACTCGGTGGCATAAAGATGGTGTTAAGATAATGAATGATAATATATGAAGATGAAAGTGAAAGAAAGTGAATGGCATAATAGGATGAGCATTGCTGTTTATCACATATTCGTATTAGCAATGATAGAATTAACTCTAAAATAAAATAACACATTCCTTTACAAAAAATAGATGTGACACAGCGATGACACGGAAATCACGATAATTATTCACGATAAATCCACCATAAAATCAACAAATTCTCTTACAGAACGAGGAGTGACACATACATCATAACGCAACATAATGCAATAAAAAGAATGACGCTAACACATAACACAAACCCTTACCTGTATTTCTCCTCCGTCAGCTTGTCTATCCACATCATAGGAAATGCTTAATACACCTTCCTTCTCCTCTTCGCTGTCTACTTTATTCTCATCTTTGCTATCATTATCGTTCTCTTCATTGTTTCCGTCTTCACTGTGTATATTTTTGGTTCTCGTAGTGATGTTATTCTCCCGGTAAGTTAGCAGTATTTCCGAAGGGCTTAGGCGCTCCTGATGCACTGAAGAAAACGGGAAGAGAACAAATTGTTAAATGAGAAAATAAGGAAAAGCGGTATCGTTCTTAATATCTACACTATTTTCGTTATTTATTTGTCGCTAACAGTGTTTTCACTCTAGAAAGCTCGCAACATTCCCTGTTGCATCGTAAAAAAGAGAGTGCTTAAAGAGACGGTATTATTAGCATGATCTCCGTTGTTTCTTTTGGCACCGATACCCGTGGTAATAACCTCCCTGTTATTCAGCCCTAAAAAAAATGTTTCTGCTGAGAGAAAATCGGAAGAAAATTATTACCATCACGGCAAGCCAATATCCTGATATATATATATATATATATATATATATATATATATATATATATATATATATATATATATATATTTACTTATATATATATATATATATATATATATATATATATATATATATATATATATATATGTTCACGAGGAAGCAGCTCGAATAAAAAGCTGGAACTGAAAGAGAAAAAGAAAAAACAAGATACAGGATATTAAACTGACGAAGAGATGAAAGCGCACTGGGGACGGTAAAAAGAGGAAGATGTGCCTGTGAATTTGTTGTTTCGTTGGATTTTTATGTCTATTATTAACATTTACTGCTTTTCAGTCCTAGATTTCCTTTGTCCATTTATTTATTCATTTTACTGTTTTTTATTATGAAGAAGTGTTATTGTCATTTACTATTATGATTAGCAGTTGTCATAATCACTGGCATTATCAACCTCATCGGTGACGTTATTATCGATGGCATTTTTGTTAACTGTATTTTCATCACTAGTGAAGTTGTTTTGTTCAAAATATGCAGCGTTTATCACTATTGTTCTTATTATTACTCATTGTCTCTCTGTCCACTATTATTGTCCTATATCATGTTTTTTTTTTATGAACGTTACGATCAGGATTACAATAGTCTTATCGGAAAATCGGCGATAGTTGCGAAAAGCTTAGTCACTAAGGAAAATGGGAAGAAAATTAAGTGTTTAAGAAATTGAAGAAAAAAACAACCGTGTCCTTATCACTATTCTCAATGTCACTGGTTTTCTTCCTAACAAAAAAAAAAAAAAAAAAAAAAAGAAAAAAAAAAAAAAGAAAATGTGGTTTTATTCTCAAACGTTCTTTCCTGGCTATTAAAAGTATTTGAATGAATATCCTGCTGGTAATACGGCGCGACTCCTTAAAAAAAAAAACGAGAAAAATGTTGCTGAGAGAAAGTCAGAGATTATTTCAGTCACGATAAACCAATACCCGAGGATCTACAGTTTATATTGTACAAAAAAAAAGAAAAAAGAAAAAAAAAAAAAAAAAAAAAAAAAAAAAAAAAAAAAAAATATATATATATATATATATATATATATATATATATATATATATATATATATATATATATATATTCTTTTCTTTATATGTTGTGTTTACGAAGAAGCTGCTCGAAGACAAAAAAAAAAAAAAAAAAAAAAAAAAAAAAAACGGTGGAACTGAACAATAATGATAATTATAAAGAAGCAAAAGGAAATTAACTTCGTGAGGACGAGAATGAATTGCCGTGCACAGACATTAAAAACGACTGGTTCTTTGTTGAAAAAATGACACTTGATAAAAAGGGTCTTGTCTTTCTTGTCTTAAAGGTCATTTTCGTTTGTACAATTTTTATCATTATCACAACCATTATCATAATAATTCCTACCACCATGATCTCCACCATCAATCATTACCATTAACATAATCGTAATGATTATCATTATGGCATTATCATCACTGTTGTCATTATCACAAGCATTATCATAACCAGTAATATACCCATCATTATTAACCACAAGAACAGAAACATTCGTAAGCAAACCTCCATTAGATTCAGAAAGCCCGCCATTTTCGTCATTGTGTGTATTTGGAATTTCAGCTTCAAATTCAGTGATGTTTTCCATCTCTGATATTCGGACTTTGACATCCAACAGGCCGATTTGCTGTAATGGTAGAAAATATTAAAAAATCTGTTATATATTTATATATAGGTATGTGATTTATTTACTGATTTATTAATTCATATTTTCATAATCATATATACATATTATTTTTTTAATCACACACACCTGCTAAGCATAATACCTGAAATTAACACACACGCGAACAATTTATCTAACAAATGACTTACACTGGCAGGCCTTAAGTAGAGCCTATGAGTGTACTTTCCCTTCACTCTTTGCAACAGCTCTTCATATTTGAGGTAGAACACAGCACTCTCGTTGGCACCCACGCTGGCACTTGCTCTGAACGTCTGTGTGGTTTTGATCTTCTTCGTGGCACTGCATGGAAGTTTGAATTTAATTTTTGAACGTTGACATTGAATAAATTTTGATAGGTAGAGTTTTGATAACCGATGAGAGAAATCTTATTATGATGTGGTTTTCATATTGTGTAATAGAATATTGATACTGTAAACGAGAGAATTTGGTACTGAGTTAATACTTTGATTGTCTTATAGAGTAATTTGATTCCAAAAGAATATTTAAATTGTTGGAAAGAAATTTCACTTTATTTGAAAGGTTCCTGGTTATGAGCAAAGAAAACATACAACGAAGGAGGTAAACAACGAAACACAAAAGCGTAACTTAAGTGCATGTTTGCCTGTCTGTGCTGAAGTCACTAGAAGAAAAAAACTACATGAATAGAATAAAAATAAATAAATAAATAAATAATTGCATGATACATGAAATGCTAATACACCTTTACAATAGTCAGGGAATCGGAAAAAAATATTATTCAAGAATAAATATACAAAGAAGGTAAATAATAAAGTGTCACTTTATATACTTCTTTGTACTGGAATCACTCTAAAAAAAAAGTGCTATTAATTTGTCCATTGAATAATTTAGTTTATTTTAATCCATATCATAAGCATTGATATATTCACGTTAATGCACTACAATCTCGTAATAAGCATTTTTATATAAAGTTTGGTAGAAATATGTTTTTATATAAATATTTATATGAGTCTTTGTACTAAAGACACTAAGCTGAGAGGAAGATGGTAGACATAGGTATTATTTGAAATATTATTTTATTTACCTAGATGAAAAATTTGTGAATAAAAGATAACGCTAGACAATAACCCACGACAAGGAATTTATACATTTGCACTGAGGACAAACTACTGAAAAGAAAAAGAAATGCTAAGAAGACAAAAAAGTAAAAATTGAAGAAAAATACAAAGAAGGAAAAAATAACGAAAAATGCAAAAGGCAAATATTAGAATAATACACTAAATGCCACCTTATTTTCACCTCTTTTTCTCTGAATCACTAGTAGAAGTGTTGGGGTCGGGTCTCCGCCGTTCATGGGGGCGCCGCTCCCTTACGATCGTCGTGTAATTCTTTCCATTGTTTTCGCTGTAAGATGAATTATTGATAATACTATTAGCTTTATTTAGTATGCTAGAAATGTTGGTGTAAATAATAACAATAATGACATAACAATAATTCTAATCGTTAACATTATTCTGACAGTAAGAATTGATAAAAAGAGAAAACACGATGATTTTGATGATGATGGTAATAACGATAGTGATAATCACGATAGTATGAAAAACAAGAAGAAAATACCAGTTCATGAATTTCATTAAACAAATAATAATAAAATAAAATAAAAAGAAAATAAAACATACATGGTTAGCGTGGAGACATAAGCCCCCCAAGGCAGGAGCATCTTAAACTTGAGATCAGAAGGCCTTGGTTTGCTGTTCGTGACGGCGGCCGTGACGTGGGTGACGGCGTAACGATGGCCCACTTCGGAGGTGACTTCCAGGCGGGAGATGACGTCGCCATGGCATTTTACCTACAGGAGGTTTAGTTTTTGGGGTATAGTCAGCCATGTGCAGGTATGTATCTATTTTTCTATGTACCTATTTATCTAGATGTCTGTCCATCTATCCATCCATACTAATTATTTAAGAACTTCAGCTAACTATTTGTCTATCCTTATACACAATCTATGATTAACGCTAACAGTAATAATTAGATATCAGAATAAACAATAACCACAATTCAAAATAAGAGAATATAGAAGTATCCCCTGTAAATATACCTCTAAGAAAACGAACTCCAAGTAAACGGTAAATAACCTAAATTTTCACCTTTTCACATTATTATCAATGATTCGCAATAAATAATAAATATCCACAATCTAATTATAACTGACAAGATAATAGTATATGAAATTATTACTCAACAAAATAGTGGAAGACGGCCCACTGTAAGATATGAGGGGAGTAGGTGATATAGTCTTAGCTCGGAGGCACTAGAACGACCAACCTTAAAAAGTGCATGATAAATAGAGATGTAAGACTTCACACTAGTATATCTCATACCAGATAACGAAAGAATGATTCATAAATTAATTACTTTTCAAAAGGATACGGAATTTTATGATCTTATCTAAACTGGAACAATAAGTAGGGTCCATTGGCTTGATGGTTGATAGCCGAAAAAACAGCTCTGGTTGCATGGTGATTTACTACTTTTTGTTTGTGGAAAAATAAACAGGGATTAGGGGCGCTTGAGATTATCTAATAAAATGATAAAAGTAAAACTATATTTGCAAATAGAATTACTGCGCCGAGTTTTTAATGTAGCAATACGGTTTACTGCGTACAAATTAAAATCGTTCATTTCTTTAATAAACTTCGTTTCCTTGGTTGCCAGTGGCATTTACCATGATAGAGCGAAAAAAAAAAATATATATATACATAAATAATTTTCTTTAAAGTTGAATTGCATTCTTTTGCTTCTGTCGTTGCCATTCGAGGTGTCATTTGTTTAGCAACTTAATAGTAGTTGTATTTTTCTCACATAATCAATATATCTATAAGAATTTCTTGAGTACCGTGGAGCAAGTTCAATTCTCCAATTGTCTAGTTCAAGTAAGGGGTATACTGCAAATGGTTAAGTCCATTACGGAAATTAAAGGCATGCAGTGGATAATTACGTCGCATACGTAAATTAAATCCTATAGAGCAGCTGTTGAAGAGGTGCATATATAGCACTGATTTTAGTATCATTCAGAATTCTTATGGTACCAACTACTGTAAATCTATTGAGTTCGATGTTTCCAGTATGCTACAACGTGCACTTTGTGTATTTTTCATTTCATGCTTTGTACTTACTGTTCTGTTCTTGAAATTCCAATTTTCCAGAAGCTTTTGGAATCCTAGAGGCAGAAACATTCACTATTGCAACCACTGTATTTGTGTAAACAGAGGCATATGTTGGTATTCCTCACAGTCCTTTGAAAAATACTCACGCATTAATATTTTGTAAGATTGCCCAGTCCAGTCGGTATATGCATTACATTACAATGAATAAAGAGAGAATGGCTATGTACTTCCCTCTTCTGGCTTGTATACCTCTGTTAATTCCACTTTATAACTCGGTCATAAAAGCGAGTTTGCGTGGACATTCCTCACTTACAGCCCGGATTTATTTAATTAATGAGACTTTTGTTTCTCAGCTTTTTCGTTGGAGCTTGTTGCCTGAGAACAATCACTATCCTATTGTATATATCTTAACAAATATTCCTTAAATGGAATGATTCTTGTCATTTTTGTTGTTGCATATCATTATTACCAACGCTATTATCATTATTACTATTTTCATCTGTATCCTCATTGTTTTCATCATCATTATCGAGATCATTAGCATCATAATCAGCAGCATTAGTATCATCATCATTATCCCTATCAACATAATTATTGTTGTTGTACTATTTTACATATTTCCAAGATTGCATGTTGCTTCACTTCATGCTACCATTTCCACTAATCCAAAATAAGTGATTCAAGTACTCTTATGAGCAGTTACCTCAAGTCTCTAACTCTACTTTTCATCCATAGAGAATTCGCCCCAAAGAACAGAGAGGAAGAGCAGAATTAAGCTTTTGTTTAGATACATAATAAGTCACGTTTCTGACTGATAAAACGACGTGAGAATTCTTCGTTCCTAGATATGCCTACCGTATCGGTTGGGAAAAGTTGATGTTTTGTAAATATTTGAGCAAATTTCCCGTCGTTAAAGAATAATGACCAAACCACGTAAAATGTAAACATAAGACTGATATTCTTTGTTTGGTTAGTAAAAGATAACCATGAAATCAGTTTGGTGTAGTTTTTTATGAAAATTCACTGAGAAGAATATGGAATATCTTATATTTTGTTGATTTTCGATAGACTATTATCATTTTGCTGAGGGAATAGACCGGTGACAACCATGGGAAAGGGGGGAGAAAGGCTCATAATCCACATTTCACAAAATTCAAGAGGTGATGATAAAAAAAAATAAAAAAAAATAATACGTCGATACTAAAGAGCGCAATCCCACTTTTGGGGGATTACAGTGGCCCATAAAACGATCTTTGTTTTCTCCGCTGCCATCGGCACTCTGGGTATCAATATGCAGTGATTTTTTTTCATCACTGCCCTCGATACAACCCATCATTGTGCGTGTGCGTGTGCGCGTGCGTGCGTGCGTGTGTGTTGTGAAAATGCTGAAGATGATGATAACCGCATCTGCTTCCTGAGTATCGACGTGCGCTTGACTACGGATTTTTAATTTGCAAGACGTAGGGGACTGATGTTCGAATAGTATATACTTAGTCGGGTTCAGATTCATATTCACGGTTCACAGTACATGGTTCTCCCCTTCTTCATTATATAATGAATAACAGGGAAGGAGGTCAGAACATAATTGGACGTCTGAGGGAACGAGCTGGCGAGCGTTGGACGGTGGTCGGGAGGAGACGTTTGTGGTTCGCTTATTCATGATATCTCTTTATAGGTTCACTATCTATATATTACTTTATTTGTGTATTTATATATTTTTTTATTCTGTTTATCGATATGTTACATTATATTGTGTTAATGATGGTGAGTGTGCTAAATACTTTCGATGATATGGTGATGGTTAATTACTGAACTTGTGGTTAATGTAAATATAGTGTTAACCCAATCGGCACGGATGGCAAGAATTCATGCCATGCCACTGTAATGCTTGTTTATTGCATTTGCACATAGATGGCTCTACAAGTGCCTAATCACTTAGGAGTCAGTTATTAGTCCCACCTAGCACACCTTTTTATCATTTTCCTTGACTTTTGGAAAGGGTCTTGTATTATTTCATTGTCTGAAATGTTACCAATATTTATACAACAATTTGATAATCATAACATCAATAGCAATGATGACAGTATTGATATCAACTGTATTAAAAAGAAAAACAGATTTTCCCGTCAATTCAAGGAATGGGGATATCAGGATCGGACACTAGGGCCTACTGGTAGACTCCTTGCCGGCTGGAGTACGTGTGAAGCCATCTGCATGTAACAAAATTTAAAAAAGTACAAGAGAAAGTACATATGTCCGTGGTGACTGGGTTAAGATGAATTGTGACTTTCTGCTTCTCACTTACATACTTAAGATAATTATGCAGCCATATCTATGGCCTTCGAATAACTAATTAAGTTATGTATGATAGAAAACGTAATAGAATATGAACTAATTAGATACGTAACTGGAATTATGAAGTGACATGAATGAACTCCAGATGACTTAATCAGATGAAATGAGATAAAAAAATGAGCTCGTGCTTATATCTTTCCTTAAAAGAAGGCTTTGACACCTAAATTAAGCATAAGAATAATTTCATACTTCTAAATGAATGCCTTTCTGTTACCATCCTGTCCTTGGCCAGAGGGTGTCGCTGTTCAGGGGCTAAAACTTATGTAACAATATGTATATATATATATATATATATATATATATATATATATATATATATATATATATATTTATTTATTTATATATATGCATGTGTGTGTATTATATATACATAATATCATATATATGATTCTATTTATATATTATACTATATATTTTATATTATACACACACACACACACACACACACACACACACACACACACACACACACACACACACACTATAATATATAATAATAATATATATATATATATATACTATATATATATATATAATGCATAAACACAAACACATACACACACACACACACACACACACACACACCACACACACACACACACACACACACACACACACACACCACACACACACACACACACACACACACATACACACACACACACATATATATATATATAATGCATAAACACAAACACATACACACACACACACATGTATATGTGTGTGTGTGTTTGGTTATATATATATATATATATATATATATATATATATATTATATTATATATATATATAATGCATAAACACAAACACACACACACACACACACACACACACACACACACACACACACACACACACACACACATATATATATATACACACACACATACATACATATGTGTAACCACACACCCATATATATATGTATGTGTGTGTGTTTGGTTATATATATATATAATATCTATATTATATATATATATATAATATATATATAGTCTATATATTACTTTATTTGTGTATTTATATATTTTTTTTATTCTGTTTATCGATATGTTACATTATATTGTGTTAATGATGGTGAGTGTGCTAAATACTTTCGATGATATGGTGATGGTTAATTACTGAACATGTGGTTAATGTAAATATAGTGTTAACCCAATCGGCACGGATGGCAAGAATTCATGCCATGCCACTGTAATGTTTGTTTATTGCATTTGCACATAGATGGCTCTACAAGTGCCTAATCACTTAGGAGTCAGTTATTAGTCCCACCTAGCACACCTTTTTATCATTTTCCTTGACTTTTGGAAAGGGTCTTGTATTATTTCATTGTCTGAAATGTTACCAATATTTATACAACAATTTGATAATCATAACATCAATAGCAATGATGACAGTATTGATATCAACTGTATTAAAAAGAAAAACAGATTTTCCCGTCAATTCAAGGAATGGGGATATCAGGATCGGACACTAGGGCCTACTGGTAGACTCCTTGCCGGCTGGAGTACGTGTGAAGCCATCTGCATGTAACAAAATTTAAAAAAGTACAAGAGAAAGTACATAAGTCCATGGTGACTGGGTTAAGATGAATTGTGACTTTCTGCTTCTCCCTTACATACTTAAGATAATTATGCAGCCATATCTATGGCCTTCGAATAACTCATTAAGTTATGTATGATAGAAAACGTAATAGAATATGAACTAATTAGATACGTAACTGGAATTATGAAGTGACATGAATGAACTCCAGATGACTTAATCAGATGAAATGAGATAAAAAAAATGAGCTCGTGCTTATATCTTTCCTTAAAAGAAGGCTTTGACACCTAAATTAAGCATAAGAATAATTTCATACTTCTAAATGAATGCCTTTCTGTTACCATCCTGTCCTTGGCCAGAGGGTGTCGCTGTTCAGGGGCTAAAACTTATGTAACAATATGTATATATATATATATATATATATATATATATATATATATATATATATATATATATATATATATATATATTTATATATATGCATGTGTGTGTATTATATATACATAATATCATATATATGATTCTATTTATATATTATACTATATATTTTATATTATACACACACACACACACACACACACACACACACACACACACACACACACACACATATATACACACACACATACATACATATGTGTAACCACACACCCATATATATATGTATATGTGTGTGTTTGGTTATATATATATATATATATATATATATATATATATATATATATATATATAATGCATAAACACAAACACATACACACACACACACACATACACACACACACACACACACACACACACACACACACACACATATATATATGTAATACACATACACACGAACACATACGCGCGCGCGCACACACACACACATGTATATGTGTGTGTGTGTTGTACATGTTTGTGTGCCGTATATGTATATGTGATTGTGTGTCTACATTTAACTATCTATCTATCTAGAAATATATATATATATATATATATATATATATATATATATATATATATATATATATATATATGTATATATATATATATATATATATATATATATGCATGTATATATGTATATATGTTTAAATGTAAATATGTTTATATGTTTATATGTTTATATGTTTATATGTATATGTACATATATATATATATATATATATATATATATATATATATATATATATATATATATCAACGGCCTCCTTCAATCGATATTGACTATGGCATTATTGTCTCTACACACTCCCGTATAGGTAGAGTCAATGTCAGTGCGAAAGAATGTGAGGAGCAAGTTGTTGTCCATGTAGCATGCTCCCTCTCTCCACGTAGCTGGAACGGCAAAGACCGATACACGATACATATATAAAATATAATATATTATATATATATACATATATACACTTATATATATACATAAATATATATACATATATATACATATATATATATATATATATATATATATATATATATATATATATATATATATATATATATATATATATATATATATATATATATATATATATATATATATATATATATATATGTCGTGTGTGTGCGATATATATGTATATATATATATATATGTATATATATATATATATATATATATATATATATATATATATGTATATATATATATATATATATATATATATATATATATATTTATATGTATATATTTCTATATATATATGTGTGTATGCGTGTGTGTGTGTGTGTGTGTGTGTGTGTGTGTGTGTGTGTGTGTGTGTGTGTGTGTGTGTGTGTGTGTGTGTGTGTGTGTGTGTGTACATTTATATACATATATGTGTAACACAGTCTAGTCAGTCTAGTAATGTGTTGACTGACTATTGTGATGATACCATTGGAACTTTCACAGATCAGTTAGTGAGTATGAAGGGTATTTGGTATTCCAGAGACATTTTTCACCTAAACCGTATTTAGATACATCCTCTATTACGCATTCTATCACATAATATGAGAGGACGTAAATAGCTGGCAAATATGCTTACTGATATGGTGGCAAGTAATATTATGTAAATAAGGCAATTAAAACAGAGATTACGGGTGAAAGAAACTTTTTGATGAAAGTGTATGTTGTGTTGGGTTGCCTAACGAGCTGGTGTTCTAACTTGTACAGTTGCTCGGGTGTTATTGTCACGTCGTGTGTTATTTACACCTTGGTAATCTTTACATATTTTTGTTCCAGCGCATCTTTCTCAAAGATAAATATTTCGAAGCTCGTTAATTACCATCTGTCAACGTCTCCTTTCATTTTCAAAAGATGGTAGCTCTTTGTAATTGACGCATGACTTCACACCTTTGTATTGCACATTATATGTTATATCGTCGGATAGAGGCCAACAGACAGCGTTAGGTCAATTTAATATTTAATGGCCTTCCGATGATTCCATTTTGTCTTAGCTCAGAAACAGGTTGAAAGCTCGATTTAGGTTTTTAGGTGTAATGAAAATCAAACACAATTGCCTCTCTTTAAATATGTGGTAGAACACACCCATAGTACACAGAAAAAAAGTCAGACTGTATACCTGATGTCATTTCAAAAGCTGACCTAGGCCATTTGAATGGATCTGATGTTCCCTAAAATTCCATAGCCAAGTCAGTGGTACCGGTACTCTTAGCGCCCAATACTTAACGGTTAATTCAAGGCTTATCATGTGACAAGGCCATTCAACACAAGTTTACAATACGACCTAGAATAATAGTGAAATTAGGACTCACCTGCACAATGAGTACGACCGCGGCAAAAAATACTGGTGTCGTTGTTCGAAACATGTCGCCCTAAAACTGCTGAAAGTAACC